GTTCTGTTGCATCCCTTCTTAAATTTCACAGAGTATATTTATCAAACCTGCAGAGCAGTCTGTTTTCACATACTCAAGTGCTGGTTTAGATCATGTTGTGATATACCAGGCTTTGTTCTTGGAGATAAAATATAGATAAGTTATCTTTAGAATTCATCTGCTTGCAAGTCTTAGTGTGTTCCCTTTCCAGACAGGGCTTAGGAAACCTAAAACACCCTTTAGGCAGGGTCACAGTGCTGTGGAAAGTGCCCCTGGAAAATATGGTCCACTGAACACTAGCAGTGGTTTCTGGGGTAGAATATAGGATTGTCCTTAACTCTAGATCTGGTACTTGACACTATACTAAAAACTGATAGACTAAAGGGAGAGGTCAGCTTTCATGCATGACTTACACAAACTTATATGAACAAAAAGACGTGTTCAGCTTTTTCTCTGCCACTGCCCCTCCTTGATCTAAAATCTCTATCCAAATGTCTTTCCACGTCTTTTTCTAAGGATATATTTGGTTTCCCCAATGCACATGTTCGTGACATTAAAATAAAGCAATGTAGCAGAAGTATCTATGTGGCCTCTTTGATCTTGTATCGGCTTCCTGTAATAGAGGATCAGCAAGAAAAAATCCTGCTCTGTGGCATCCTGGAAAAATGTGGCAGACTTGTCTTCCCTTTCTGCTGAAAAACCACTTCCAAGTGGTGCTGCACAGCACTGGTGCTCATGTGCAGGGTCACTCTGGCACCAGCACAGAGCTGGGACCCTGCAGTGGGACTGAGAAAACACTTGGGTATTCCCAAGCCCACATGATGTTTATAAGGCAGCTCTAGTTTTTGTTATAGCTGTTCCTTATCCATGCAAGATTTAAGCAGTGCATCTGATACAGTCAGTTTCCCCATCATACAAAAAGGTCTGGTTGATCTAGGTTTAAAACCCTTGTGAAAACCCTTCAGTGATTCCTTTAATCTATTCAATTGCTTTAAATCTATTTAGGGGAGAGCATAAAACAAAATCGTGTTGATCAGTGTGCTCTCATATGCCTTGTATGTCTGTGTAGTCCATAAGAAAAATCTGAAGTTCAAGGTGGTGGATCTTTATCTATTTTCTTCTTCTTCCATATCAGACTTAAAATCTGTGCTTCTTTACACAGACTGTTGGGAGAGAAATCCTGCTCCATTTGATAGATTTCCTGGTGACCAGCTATGGACGTGATCCAGTTATTACCCGGTTACTCAATAATACCCGGATTCATATCATGCCAACGATGAATCCCGATGGATTTGAAGCTACAAAAGTGCCTGATTGTTATTACACACGAGGAAGGTAAGAGTGGCTTAGGAGGGTGGGAGAGGTAAAATAAATGGGTGGGGAGTAATCGCAGCTAGGCAGAAGACTGAATCATGCTTGGTGGAGAGCAGAGTCCACAGGATGTGCTAGGGCTAATTTTTGCCTGTGCTCTTCTGAAGACACGTTGTTATGGCATAGAGCTTCTGGAAGACTGAGTCATATTGGTGTTTATATATGGTGTGGCCAGAAAAAATTGGTCAGAATGGCATAATGAATTCACCTTTTAGGCAGGAGACCCAGATTGTGAATACAAGCACAATTCCCTATTTTGTAGCACCTTTATAGTGCCATGAGAAAAGAAGGAAAATTCCACCCACAGGGATCTATTTCAATTGCAGAATTCTGTAACCCTTCTTAATGAGAAAAGGTGTGTCTAAGCTCCTTGAATGGACTTTAGCAATGTGTTTAAAAATAATGTTGAATGTGGATTTAATAAGAAGGAGGAGTTACACAAGCAGAACTGGTTATAATAGGTTCTGTGCTAATAGTGATGGTAGGAAAAAAAAAACCTACACAGAAGAAAATATAACCTGGCATTGTATGCCGTGCTACTTCTGAATTCTTTATTGTGACTATTGCAGAGACCAAAAAGGGGATGAAAAGCTTAACAAGCTAGAACAGGGAAAGTGACAGTGAGAGAATGGGAAGAAACGCCCAAAGGGCAAATTTGGAACGTGCAGAAAAGCAAACCCATGAGCTAGAACTTCTCTTGGATCACTGGCCTTGGCAACATCAGAAGCAAGTGAAAAGAAAGTTTAGGTTGTTTAGTTCTTTAGGTAACCAGTTTAGGTCATCCTTTTTATTGAGAAAAAATGTATTCCTCAACAAATAGATGGGACTTGTATGGAAGGGTGTATTTTTTATTCCTTCACTGTCAAATAGACAGAGTTTAACAGACTGAGTTCAAAAGTTAACACAGTCAAGGGCTGAATAACCTCTTTATTCCTGTACTGACCTGAGTGAAAAAGCAAGAGCATTTGAACAGAGGACGTTAAGGCTCAGGCAGAAGAAAATGCAAAGTCCTTCTGATCCGCCTCTGATTTTTCTAATTCACTTATGAATAGATGTACATTCTATGTGCATGTTAAAAATTCTGTTTCCACTCTAGAATTGTTTTATTGTGGCCTATGAAAATTCCAGTGCTGCCAGAAAGCAAACTGAAGTCCATCACCATAATACTTGAGAAATAAAAAATTATCATCTTGTCTGTTCCCCAAAGATACTAGCACACCAGAGATCTGAAGTACTGAGTGATATGGAAGTATCCACAGGCAAAACAGTAATGGGAATATCTTCTCTCCTTCTAAGGTACAACAAGAATGGAGAAGATCTGAACAGAAATTTTCCTGATGCCTTTGAAAATAACAGTGCCAGCATTCAGCCAGAGACTCGGGCAGTAATGGACTGGATAAAAAATGAAACGTTTGTTCTTTCAGCAAACTTGCATGGGGGTGCCCTGGTTGCCAGTTACACCTTTGATAATGGTAACCCAGGTAAGCTGGTGACAAACTGTTCTTCACAATTGACTGGGTTAAAGAACTTTGGCTGTACCAAAGCAAAATTTATAATGATTCCTGCAAAGTTCTTCTAGCTTTTGAGCTGGGATGGGCAAAATTTGATAAACCCCATCAAAATTTACAGTCTAATATGGGCATTTTGAAGATGTTTATCCTGCATGTAAGCTAACACTGAGTGTTTTACCAATAATGAGAGTTGCACAATGGTTATCTTCACTCTGCAGTTACTGGCTCTTTGAAAGGCTATAGCAAATCTCCAGATGATGATGTCTTTATTCACCTGGCAAAAACCTATTCTTCCAACCATGCCAGCATGTACAAAGGGACGGGGTGTGACAACAGGCAAACTTTCCCAGAAGGCATTACCAATGGGTACTCTTGGTACCAGCTGGAAGGTAAGAATTTCATTGATATTTCATTTAGCTGCTTCTGGTAAGATGTTTTTACTTTCTCCTGCTATCTCCAATGATGAAAGGGCAGTGATTTTAGTCAGAGTAGAGGGCTGATGAGGGGGGCAAGTCAAGTCATTCATGCAGATTCTGTGAGCAGGACCTGGGTGTTTTCAGACTCTTCCAGACAGCAATTACACAAGTGAATGAGGCAGTGGCTGCTGTTTGCCTGCTTCTGTGGCCTTCCTTAAGGCCTGCAGTAGCTGGATGCATTACACGCATCAGCACACACTGCTTGGCATCAAGAGCTTCTCCTTTCAGAATCGAAACCAATCTTCTATTTATACATCATCCATTTCTTAATGTTTAATTACTGAAATAAATGTTTTCATTATTGTTTATGTGTAGCCAAATAGAATATGGGGCTTGTGCATTGTGTATGTTATTTTCATTGTCTTAATTCAAAGACTTAAAAGGGTCTTGGAATGGCTTTGGCAGTGGCAAATCCTATGCCAGCCTATCTGTCCCTTTTTAGTTGGGAAAGCTTGAATGAATTAAGTCAAGGACCCACCCTTTCTCAGCCACAATCATCATCATTTCCAAAATGAAATGTGCTTTAGAAAACACACTCTATGAGTAACTAGAGTAAATAATTGAGTTGGTTTTTCACAGGAGGCAGTAAATACAAGTGTGGCATTGAGGAATAATTTATCTGAATTACTTTTCTTACAGGCATGATGCAAGTACCAACTCTTAACTCTCCTGTTTGTCTTTTAGTTTGACCTTAGTGTTTCTTTGCAGCTGAAAATCCTTTTATTTCACTTTTAAGGTGGAATGCAAGATTACAACTATGTCTGGGGACAGTGTTTTGAAATTACATTGGAGCTGTCATGCTGTAAATATCCTCCAGCAGACCAGCTGGAAAAGTTCTGGAGAGACAACAAAGTTGCTCTGATCGAATATATCAAACAAGTGCACCTAGGTGGGTATGCAAATGTGAGCAGAGTGAAAACTGAGCTTAGGGGGAACTCCTCAGCAGCCTGGGTCAATGTCACAGCTCACAGGGGAGAGGTCTGGTGTTAACTTGGGAGTTTCTGAACACGAAGTGCCACAAAGCCAGGGATGGGAAAGGCAGGAGAATTTACAATTGTGTCAGGTGAGGGGCGATGGGTGCTGCTACAGGTGTGCAAGGGGCTTAAAATGTGCTGGGGCAGGAGCAAGGGACAGGCCTTGGGGGCTGTCTGACCATGCACTCCCCCTCTCCCCTCATTTTCCTGAGCAGCCTTGGGACTATCATTTATTTCAGGGGTCTCTAAGTGTATATGTGCCTCAGCACAACTGTCACGGGTCTTTGCTACTTGGATTTTGTAAATTTGAACGGCTTCTCTAGGTATGATATGACTTCACATTTGGAAGAGAAGTTCTGCTTCGTGAAGCTGTGGTGCTTTACAATGAGTTGAAGGGTTTGCACAAACCTGTTGCTTATCTTGTATTTTATTGCCCTAAAGATCTGACTGCAATTTTAACTCTGCTTAATGCCTGTGCTGCCTTGAAGATTGTGTGTGGGAATTAAGGGAAACTACTTCATAAGCAGACATTGTTAGTATACTGCCTTTGGAAAGTACTAGACAAGAGGCTGACTTATTTTAAATCACAAAGAAGGGGGGGTGTGTTTGTGTGCAAAAACTGCCAAACCTGTACTGAAGATTGAAGCCCTTCAGTAAAGGACATACAGTAAGTGTGTATGATGCCTTCAGCAAAGCCTTCAGCCAAGGATTTTCTGGTTTAATTCCCTCGAGCAAGGCCAAAGTGACTAGTGATAATATTAGATGTGCTGAAACGTGGTGAAATAGCCTTTGAGTGCATCCAGCAACAGAACAGTCTGCCTTTCTCAGAGAAGGAGGCTCACCAGTTACAGTTCATGATCTTTCCCTCCTCTCCTTTTTCCATAGGTGTCAAAGGCCAAGTTACTGATAAGAATGGGAATCCTATTCCCAATGCCATCGTGGAAGCCAAAGGAAGGCCACATGTCTGCCCCTACAGAACAAATGAACAAGGGGAGTACTTTCTTCTCCTTTTGCCTGGGACATATGTGATCAATGTGAGTATGCAGCCTTACTGAAGTATTGTTTCTAATTGGATTGAGTTCCCGAGCACAGTGAGACTGAAGCCTTAGAAGTGGGTGAGCTGAACTGCTCATCATAGATAGGAGGTGTAAAGACTCTTCAACAGACTTTTAATAAACTATATATTTAAATATTAGGCAGCAGAAAGGAAATTTTTTTACACAGTCCTCAATGTCCAGAGATAAGCACTCCTTAGACCTTGATGGTGGATCCAGCTGGGATGAGCATCTGGAGCACAGCAACAGGAGCTTGAGGTGTTTGAAACAAACCACAGAGCTCTTGCAGGGTGAGGGGTGGAGCCTGGGATCCGCAGCACCAGGCTGACACCACCATCGGTGACTGTCATTTCCTTGTGTCAAAATGGTTTCTCTGTGGAAGTCCAAAGAACATCCATGCCCTGTAGGCTCTGCCTGCTGGCAAAGGCTTATGCTTAAGCATCACTGCAGGATTCCGACTCTTATACAGCAAGAGTCTTCTTGCTATAACATGAAAACTTTACTCTTTTCCCTTTCCATGTTATCAAATGTATCTTTGGAACATTTTTCCCTGTACATTTAAAGTGTAAACAATGATTGTTTCACAGTTGAACTCAATGTTTCAAACCAAGGAAGAACACTTTTGTGTTTCCTCTTAGGTTACTGTACCAGGATTTAAATCGATGCTGAAGACAGTGGAAATACATGACAATACTGGAAACTTCAGTGCTTTGAAACAGGACTTCTCTTTCCCAGAGGTCTCAGATCAGATAAGATCAAGAGTTGCTTCATGTCCCAAAACTCCCCTCTACCAAGAGCTCGCACGGGCTTCAGCTGCAGTAAAACCAACCATACACATCTTGGTTTTAGTGACCGCTATGCTTGTAATTTTCAAATAAAGTCAGGAATGAAAAAGGCAAAGGGAAACCTTCCTGCACAAATGTGGCTTTTCAGAGAAGGAATTGTATATGCAAAAGAATGTATGTTTTTATAAACCAAATTCTCAGATTGACAATCATGTTTACTGTATGTTGTAAAATACTGGCTTGACAATTGAATGTTTTACTTTAGTTAGACATATTTTTAATTGTAACAGACTGTCATATTTTTCTATGTATTTTACTCTGAACAAATTTTGTACAGTCTATGGAGATAACTGTAGAATTTTGATGCAGAAAGTACAAATACTTTTGAATTTTTCCAGATTAAAAAAACATTGAGGATTGTACTGCAGTGTTTCATGCAAGCTCAGGTTCCTCACTGAGCCAACAGCTCAGGTGCCACACAACTGTAAGCCATCAGCTCAATACTAATTTCTCATAATAAAGCCACTGTTATAAATGAAGAATGGCCTTTTTATGTATGCTCTTTCTTACCTGGACAGATGAGACTGTTCAGGGCTCAAATGAGGTAAAGACCAGTAACACAGGCATGTTTTAAGACAAGAAGATGAAAACAAAATGTGAGTATCGGCCGAAGGGCCATACTGTAGAAGCTGGATGATAATCTGCACCAACAGGGAAAAAGGAGGAATTTGTGGCTCTGAAAACAGTGTTCTCCTACTGCAGAGCTGCTGAAAATAATGTGGAAAGAACCACAGACCATTTATATTTTGTCCATTTAAAACTGAATTTGTTGTGGCACAGAACCACATAGACTTCAGAATTCTTTGAATAGTTTTAGCAATGGCTTTATACTGTTTCAACAGCTTCACAGCCCTGCTACTCCACTGTTGGGACTGTTTAACACCCATGCCAGGAGTTGGCAGGCACACTCAACAAGGCAAAAGCCAGCTCCAGTTACAGAGGGTGGTTTCAGTGTTCCCCTGGCTGGGTTGTACTGCAGGCAGGATTAGCAGATTCCTTTTGCCTGGCCAGTTGCAAGTAATTTTCAGGGCCCTTTGAAGCTGCCCAATAAACAGAAAATTTATCGAGAAAAGCCAGTTAGTACCATCTCCTGTGTTTATTTTAAAGCTTTATCTCCCAGTAATTTTCTTAAGCAATTTCAAAAGTAAACCAGCAAATATTATCTTTGGAAACATCAATCTTTTCCTGTATACAGTAAATAAAAAGTGCAGGAATGCAGTTAATCCTTTAATGCCTTTTAAAATCTTTCCTGAGGCACTGCTGCCTTTCACACCAAGCCCTACCAGCTGGGCTGTGGAGCTTGGGCATCAGTCACTTGTCTGCCAGACGGCCACATTCAGTGGGCAACTCCAGGGCCTGAAACAGCAATGCCGATAGCACTGAGTGCTGTGTGTGCAAGAGACTGGTTTGGAATGTCTTCCTCATAGCCATTTGCATTTTCTACTTTTTCTCACCCTCTGATCTGCTGTCGGTTGTTTACCACATAGAGAATTAATTATCTACTAAATCTCCATCACTGATCCTGCCACTTGTAGCAGGAAGAACGAGAGACTCCTTGAGTTAAAATTTCCCAAACCGAAGAAATGTGACAGAAGTCAGCAGGCCAGCAGCTGAGTGGGGGCAGAAAGAGCCTGTGGTGGTGGCTCACAAAAGTAAGCATCTGTGTGAAAACAAAGTACCAGAACTTGTAACAATCAAGTAATTGACCTGAAAAAAAAAGAGCACCACGGAGTAGATAAACAAATCTTTATTTAAAGCTTTTAAATGGAACACAGTACTCCATTTTCATCAGAAAAGGAAAAACTGAAAACTGAAAGATAAACACAACAGAAACTTCTCATAAATGGGTCTATACTGTGTGCAATTGGAATGGATATTTGCATTTTAATGGTTACTAACTGTGGTCATACATGCACTGGGTAGCTGGAAAGTAATGCACCAGGCCAAGCTCTTGAAAGTGTGTTGCATAGTTATTTAAATTCACTATGAACTACTCTATTCAACAGTCATCCCGGCTATGTGTAGTCAGACAAAGATTCTGGTTTTAGAAAAGCTATTGGTATTTTAGGCATTAAGTAATCATCATCCTGATAGCCACTATTGTGGCTCAAAACCAAGAACTGTAAAAGCAGGGTGTTAAGCTAGAACATCTACTCAAAAGGGGAGCCACCACCTTTTTAAGTATCATGACAAATTTCACATGTATAATATAGCTATAGATACACTAAACAGGCATTCACTTGAAGCTTTCAGTGCATCTGTGCTAGAAAAAACCCTAACAAAACCCCCACACTTTAGTTAAAAGCAACAATTTTCCATGTTCAGTAAGTGCAATTCTTTGTTAAAACCTTAAGCTGCGTTTTGTGCTTTGCTTGTGCAACCTTTAAAGAACAAGACTTGCCTTGGACTCTGGTATGGAGGAGCTGGAAAGGCAGGGCAGGTAATCCCCTGGAGAGGAGAGGGCTGATGCTCCAGCAAGGCTCTGCTGTGCTGTGGGACCAAGGCCACCCTACAGCCCCTCCATGACAACACTGCCTGTCACAAGTCCCATAAATATGTCCAACATGCTCCTTCCCACAGGGAAGCCCCACAACAGCAAACGCCCCTTTTCAGGCCAAATGTTGCACAACAAAATGCCACATCTTCCTGGGATAAAAATAACTCCTGCCCCACCATGTTTGTGGCAAGTTAATATGCTGAATAAATTACCTGCTTTAAAATGATAAACTTTACCTAAAGTCATGCTCTAAGACAACAGCAGCCTTAGATTAAGATGGGGAGGAAAAAAAATCTTATTTTCATCCTATTTATTCAGTTTCATTAGGCTCCTAATAATTTTCTAATCTCTTTTGTATACAATTTTCTGAAACAATTATTCTTGTTGACACTTTCTGTAAGAACGAGGGATTTTCTCTTCCTCATATTAGTCATAAAAGAAAAAAAATCTGCCTGAACTTCTGCAAGCATCTTCATATGCACAGACACTTCAGAGGCAGCGACATTTGAACAAATGTACAGCAAACAGAACTCAGTGATAAAAATCGTACCACACTCTCAGCAGAAATGTAAGCTTTTTGCCAGTGAGTATTCTGAAGCACTTTTACCCTTTCTAAATTATTTTCTAAGGGGAGAGGCACAGGACGGCACAGCCCACGATCCTGCCGGTGTGGAGTGAATTTCAATAATAATGTCAATACTAACAAATAGGTAAAGACTTGTATTTAAACAAGTAGGTTTATTGTACTTTCTAAAAAAGAATAAATGAAAGTTCTTGCACCATTTGTACATAACTATTGCCTACCTGATGTGCAAGAAGGAAAAGACTAAGAAAATTACTGAAAATCGTATACAGTCACATCCTGCGGGCATCTGGCCTCCCCTGCACCTTCCTCGTCACATGTCCAAAGGCAAAAGCCATTACCACCTTTGCAAATTAACCTTAAAGCCTCTCATCACCGTCCTGCATCTCCCAAACCATCACCCCCAAAAGCAGTCAGTCATCTCCTTGCCTGTACTGAGGGATGCAAAAGCATTCCAAAGAAAAGCAAAACACCACCAAAATATTTTCACTATGCTAATGTTGCACCAGCACCATCCCTACTTAATAATTCTTCTTCAGGTTCAATGCAGAAGTTGCTTTAAGGGAAGGAAAAAAGGAAACATAGCCATAAATCTTTCTGTGCCCTTCTCAATCTGAATATAATACAAGTATTTATCTGTATTTTAATGCTACATTTCTTAAAATATTTTTCTCGTGCCTGTGATTTACTAAATAAGCATATTTATATAACTATACATGTACCAGTAGACTAATTCAATAAATTAGATCTCAAAACATCAACTGTGAGCATAAGGATATTTACAAACAGCAATAAATTAAAGATTGTGTGTGATATTAAATAAGGATCTCAAACACCTTACCAATAAGTAACAACTTTTGTACCAAAATTTAACTGCGATTTCTGTGCCACCACCCAAGGCCAGGAACGTGTTTGAGGGCCAGAACAAGCAGGGTGCTCACTGCTCACGCCCACACACGAGCACGGCCAGGCTGGGAGAGGGGGTGGAGGCAGAGCCAAAGGCTCCGGGCCACAGCCGGGAGTCACCACAGGAGTGACTGTGACACAGCTCCGGGCACCAGGCCTGCACATGCACTGCCTGCCAGCGTCCCCAACAGCAACAGGAATCAATACCCATCACCTCCATCTGGAAGGCGTGCACCCACGCCAAACAAATTAAAGTTGTGCTAGAAGTCATTAAGAATAATATTAACGACATAAAATGTAACTCAAACCAAAACACTTGGCACAGTGATTTGCAGATGGAGAAATTAAAATTCCCCATTTCCTCACTAGTGTAGCAAGCAGAAGGTATTTCCAGGGCTATTCTCCGCAACAGAAGGCATGTGACTGGAAAACAATGCCAAGAGTGGGATGGTACAATTTGTCCCAACAGGAACTAGATAAGGACAGCTGCTCCCCCAGCACTGCAGTTACACTGCCAGGGCAGCGACTGCAGACGTGGGAGACAATGCAGTGGACAAAGCTTCATAAGAAGATGAAACTTTTTAGGTACAGTCCCCATGTTATTGGTGCATCTGCATATATACATCTACAGTTCTCTCTCACCTCCAAGTGCAATGCAAAGCCTCTGCAAACCTCACTGCAACTAAGTTTATCAAATCAAAAATTAAAAAAACATTAATAGGAAGTGCAAAGTAAGGCAGGTAGCCCTCTATTAGTATCCCTACTTGAAAAAATTAACTATCTGCCCAAAGGCTTTCTCTATCTCAGGATGAAGGATTATCAAATCCTATAAAATCCATGAAAGGTTTCTGCTGATCAAAAAACTTCCAGCTACCTGCTGTCCCTTTACAAATTGCAGGAGGCAAGAAACTTGCAAGAATTTGAATGTATACAACTTGGGGTTTATATTTTGTTCAGTTAAAATTAACTGTGTTAGAACTTCAGGTACACCAGTATCTTTTAATGGCATTTTTAAAGAAATAGCTCAAATGTTTGAACAAAATGTGAATGATCCCAATAATTCAGTCTTTACCTATAAAGTTATTACTTTCCAACCAAGTCACATCCAAGGATTCACTAAGTCTGTCCTGTACATCTTAATGTCCTTTTCCTGGGTCCTTCCAGGCATTTGCAGCCCTGGAGTTAAGGAGAGCAGCAGAAGTCTCTGTGCCAGCACACAGGCAGCAGGAATTTTATACTGCTGGTGCTAGGGAAGCTGTGGAGCCTTGCCCTGTAAGATGGTAACACAGCACAATTCCTGCACCTGGACTACATCTCCACTTTTGGCACTCCCCTGTTTATATGCCACTCCCTATTACACAATCAGCAACTACCTGTAAAAACAAAAGGTGCAAAAAATATACAACTCTTCTTGCAACATAGTTTTCCAAAGGAATAAATATCACTCACTGGGTACAGAACCTCCATGTGAAAAGAAGTCGAGTGATCTTTACCACATCCTGGTTCCCACACTGACACTAACTTGCCTGAAGGCCTCCAGAACTGAGGCAGGCAGCAGACTCCCTGGGAACGGAACTGCTAAGTTTCACAAAGTTTTTGACAAAGTACAAAAGTGAGGAGACAAGAGCTAAAAGCAGTAAAGGACAGGTCCAGTGAGACCAAATTTGAGTTGGCCAAACACCTTGCAAAAGATTTTCAGAATTATTGGGATACAAATAAGAACACTGAGTTGGAAAGACTACTGTACTTAAAGAACGTGAACTGGAACTGCACAGCTGAATCGTTTCTGCAGATGAAGGTGGGTTTTTTTTCTATTTTTATTACAGTGAATGTAGCAATGCAGCTGAATGTATTCTGCTAAGTCAGAAACAAGTGCAGAAAAAGAAAACAACTGTCCCCTAATACTGCCTGACATGACAGTTCATAGCACATCCTTCATTTATCTTGTCTGACTGAGACTTGTTTCATGCTGCTAAATTAATAATAGTCACCACCATAATCAGTACAGACCTCCAAACCCCTAAATGCCAGTTTCTCAGGACATTCGAGAGAGAACTGTATGACTGAGCTTGGATCAATGACTTCTCAGGGGACACACAGCCCTTAAGTTTACAATGCACACCATAAAAATAAAAGACACACAATACCCTTTTCTGTTTCCAAAGTATTATTTTCTACCACATCCTTCCCTACTTCCTGGTAAGATCTCCCATAGAATTTGGTTACTTGGAGGAATTTAAGAAAAAGATTATATTTATTCATTTTATTGACATTTTCAGAGGGGTCTGATTGAGCCTTATGTCTTCACCAGACAACAAAAACTGGAACCTAGATAATCATCTATTTTCTTAAATGAGGAACCTGCAGAAACAAACACTTCAACATGTCTCTCCTCCAACAATCATTGAATTTGGGGTTTTAGTAAGCGTATTTAATTCAATAAAACAAATGTCACTAACTTCCATGGAACATTAAACACTTGGAGAGGCAGGTGGTTTAGAGCACCTGGTTACTTCTACTGAGAAGGATTTAAAATCTCCAAGTTGACTTCTGAATACTAGGCAAACCTCTTAAGAACTCCAGTGCATTTATGTCAGCAATTATTTTTCACAGAGAATGCCAAGAGACACAAAATATTAATTTTCCAATACGCATACAAAAATAATTTCTTACTCTCTTAACCAGTTTATGAAGTTTCTTTTGCAACTTTCCAGTCAACATATGTCTAACTAAAATAAGTTAGTACAATCATTTGTATGGGCTGCCTGCACACTGGGCAAGGTTTGTTCCTCTTCTTGAGCTTTTTTGCACAGGTAAAACATGACATGAGGTGTCCCGTTTTGCCATGTACTATGCAGCCATTTTTAGGTCTGCTCTGGCATATGACACATGGCTCTATGCTGGTAACAGGCAGGCTGGATTCCATGCTTTCCTCTTTGTCTTGTGTTTCTCTCTTCTCAGGTTCCTTAAAGTCTTCCTGACTGCTACAGAACATGCTGCTTGATGTTGATGGCTGGGAATAACCTTCACTTTCCTGGGACTCAGAAAGCTGTAATGCTTTATCCTCATTCTGATCAACAGCTAGTTCTTTATCTTCAGTCATTTTTGTTTTCTTGCAGTCAGGAACATCAAAACCTTCTCCAGACTCTGCAGGAAAGGAGGCTTCTAATTTGCTCTTTTCCAATTTCTCACTCTTTTCATCTGGAAGCCAATCCTCACGAAGGGCCCAGCATCTATGGCAATGTCGTGGAAGCGGAGGATTCATTTCATTACATTCGGGACACTTCCAATAATCCTTTAGTGAATCAAAGGTTGGAACAGCTTAAGCTACTTGGAACACTTACAACTGAAGCATTCAAAGATTATAAACAATTTGTTAATGCCAAAATAATTATTATGTTGAGCTACCAACTTGTTTACAATTTTAAAATTCCATTCAGTGGTTTTGGCCCCATTTTACAGATCTAGATTAAAATAGTTCTTATTTTAAAAGGACTCTGGATTTCCTTCGTTTTGCAGTAGGTTTGTGAATTTACAATTTATTATTTCTTATGCAAAACTGCAGAAACCAGACCACAAAACTCCTCAGGGGCCCCCATGAAGAACTTGATTTCCCTTCTTTTGGACTACGGGCTTCTGCACCGGGAGCTGTTAAAGACTGAGGGATCCTCCCCCTGCGCTCTGCTGAGCTGCTGGTGCACAAAACGGCCGCGTGAGGGCGCTCCCACACACCCCCGGGACAGGGAACATCGGCCGGGGCAAGAACAGACGGGAAGGAGCGGGGCAAGGAAAAAAAAGAAAAGGGCAAAAAAGAGTGGTGCACCAGCCTCTCAGAGGTTACTCCATACACTACAATGAAAATAAACCACTATTTCGTTAAATATACATTTTGTTTTTAAGGACAGAGACCCTTCTTAGAAATAATGCAAGCTGTAGGGGAAATAAAGACAAAAAAACCCAACCCAAAACTTACTTACTCAAGTCCTGAATAACATCAAAAGCTTATAAGACCAATTTCAAATCCTAAAAATAATGTACTGGTCTCTTTTTCCACACATAAGCACTGCTATGTTTTCAGAAGGTGGCCAGCCCTGTCTTTAACAAAGTCCCTCAGTCCTACAGACTATCAAGGGACTGAACACTTCACAGCTCCACAAAATAGCTTTAATTCAAACGCCAAATGTGAAAAGCAAATATAAATAAGGAGATAACACACACTAGAGTCAAAATGCAGTGTTTTTTCACAAATATCTCCATACTTTGCCTTAAGACTGTAAATTTCTTCCCACTCTTCAAGAATGGCCACAAAGAATATAGTCAAGGCCACTTTTACATAGTGCTCTGAAAAAAGGCTTGCTTTCATCTGTTACAGATACCTTCATTCAAGCTGGACAATAAAAGTAGGTATTCTGATTTATAGGAAGAATTTGTAAACATAGCGAAGATTTTAATTTTTTTCCATTTTGTGCAGAAAGGCAGATTTAAGTTCCAAATAATTTCCTTCCATTAAGTCAATGAAACGGTAAACTAGCATGGAATTGGGCTTTTTTTAACCAGCTAGTAAGTTATTAATCATTAAAAAAAAAAAACAACAAACCAAGATTCCTTAATTATCACATGTCCAGTAATTAAAATATTGTATTGGAACCGTCATGCATAGATGAAAAAGTCAATTTAATTTTTAAAAAATCACTGGTAGCAATAGAATTCATCTATACTTCTTGATCTATTCTATGTCAGTTAACCTAAGTTATGATGCTTCACCAGACAAGTTTTTACTCACAGCTAGAGAAATCTCTGGATCTTCATCAAATGAATCAGCATCACTGTCTTCATCCTGGTAAATAGTCAGCTGATAAACCTGGTTTAAATTAAAAAAAAAATAGATATAACTGGGTTTTGGCATTTAATTAAAACCCCAAAATATTTTTAACCTGGTAAGATTTTCAGATAGCAAGCTACTGGAGTCTCCAGGGATGGTCCATTAAGATTATTAATGGATTAGAGGAGCTCTCACGTGAGGAAAAGCTGAAAAAGCTGGGACTGCTCAGCCTGAAGAAGGGTCAGAGCAGGGGGTGCCTGACCAGTGTGGGTAAATACCTCAAGGGATGGCATCATGAACACACAGTCATGCTCTTTTCAGTGGTGTCCAGTAGCAGGACAAGAGGCAACTAGCACAAATTAAACACATGAGGTCCCATTCAGCCTCTCAGGTACTACAATCATGTATGGGTGAATTCTGCCTCTGGTACTTACCCAATGCTGCCATGAGCTGATTAACCTCTCTAAAGTAACAGAAAACTAACTCAGAAAGAAAACCCCACATACATTCTCACTTAATTCCCAACATTCCAGAAATCTCTTGAAAATTGTGATAATCTAAATTTTTCTGTCTTCTTGCCTACTAATAAAGATTTCTAAAACTTTGTTTCAGCATCTCTATGAAACATTTACATTCACAGAGGCAAAAAACTTGGACATAGCCCTTTGGAAATAATTACTCAGAAATGTTTCTTTTGGTATCAAGTGTTGTCAAAGCTCAATACATACTCCTAGAAATAAAAATGCAGAAAGACAAAAGTACACATATTGCCACAGACTCCAACAGCTGGTGAGAGAAGTTAAGCACCCAGACTTTCCTATCCAGCCTGTTTCAGAGCCAGCAGAAAGCTCAGCACCATTTCAGTCACTGGCTGGTGGGTTGTGTAAGGGTGACCCAACTGCACCGATGTTAATAAATAACTGGGTGCAGATTGTGACACCAGCACATGCAGTTCAAATATATACCTGAAGAGTTCTCCTTGGAAACTCATAGGAATTTTTCATGTTGAAATTACTTCTCCTTCTCATCCCCTGCCCCCAGGGTCAAACAAAGATAGCAGATAGTACCTCATCATCTTCATCTGTGAGCTCCTGCCCTTCTTCATTATGGCTATAATCTTCTGAATAAATAGACTCAACTTCAAACTCAACACTGAACTGGTCTGATACAGAACTGTGGTCAAACCAATCAGAGTTTTCGCTTAATGAACTAGCGTCAAGATCCTGAAAAAAAACAAAAAAAGAACACACATTCAACCTCACCAGTCCATATACATAACATTACTGTTAAAACAACTCTCAGGATAAAACTGTACTACTCAATGTAATTAGCTATGGAAGAAAAAGGACCAGCTGCTGTGAGACACAGTACTTTTTGTGAGATAAACAAATTACAGGTGGGTAAAAATAAAGCTAGGTCTGGAAGCCTTTTGTTGGCTCTGTAATAAGAAACTGCACTCAGCCTACAGGCAGCTGAAAGGCTGCAGTTATTATTTCAGAAAGTACTTCTTAAAAAGTGAAAGAACAGATGCAAGAAGATGGTATCTTTTTGGCTGCCTGACATTAAATTCTCTACTCTCATAAACTTTGTTTATTCTGAGACCATGGTTTAACAATTACAAAACAGGAAGACTGAAGATACAGTATTAGTTCTGTCAATTTAGAACACAGTATGTGACTACAAATACTGTTAGTTCAGCTCTTCATGACTTGATCTAACCACAAATAATTTGCCTTGGTATTTGTTAAAAACAATATAAAACTTCTAAGTAGTGGCATGGCAAGTGAATACAACACACCATCAGCATCCATTCCACTGGGTACAGTTACCAAAGCTGCACCAGAACTAGCACCTAACTCTGAATTATGGAATGTCTATGATTCTTTTTGTCTCTTAGCATTCTAAGATATACTTATTTTAAAACACAAAATTCATCTGACATTTTTCACCACTGTGCCAAGCATTGAGGATCCCGGGTTTTTAAAGAATATTCAATGGTAATATTTTTAAAAATTTCACTTCAGCTTTGCCAGCAGATCTATGAAAAACCCCACCCCACCCACACACCTACTTTTCTTTCAACCTCTTTTCTTTCCTCAGACAGCACTGAAGGCACTGCTGCTTTTAATTAAGAATATTGTGTTTTCAGATGCATGTTTGCACTTGTGGCATCTGTAAAATCTGTACCACAAAAATATTTTACATTTCTATTTTGACTTACAGGAATGGAAAGAGAATCTGTTGAATCACTGCTATTGCTTCTTTCACGGCACAGACCACTGACTACACACCATGAGAGACTTTCATCAAACGTCAAGGAAATGCTGTCTGACTTGTGTCGCTTTCTTCTGTCACTGTGCAGATCATCTGAAGAATTTTCTTCTGGGCACAGTAAAGAATTTCTTATTACTCAAAAACATATATGCAACGTGCAGTTTTGAATGTTCTCAACGGAAGCTTAAAATACAATTTACTATAAAGAAATATAATAATTTCAGTACTTTTTTATGGGGCAAAAAGGCACTAAGACTTATTTTAAAAGACCCAGTAACACTTATACCCATATAGCATGAAACATTTCTGAAAATAGTATTTCAGGGGTTGGCTTTCCCCACTTGTCCCAACAGTAGAGCTTATGAATGGCAGTCTCCACATGGAAAACAATTGCAAATTTGAAAGAATTTTTACTCCACACACGACATGTTAAATCCTTCCTAATTTTAAGAAATACAGTTAGAAGCTTACTTGTCCTCACTCCCTCTACAGGCAACAGACAGAAAGGCACTTTCAGAGGGCTTCTGAGCCCATCCCAGAATTTGTAGGGAGATACAGCAATTACATCCCAGGTCACATGCATACAGAACACCTTGTGCTAAGCAAGGTAAGTTCAGGTTCAAGTTTCAGACACCTCAACTATCTATCAGTGAATAGTTGCGCTACATGTAATTGTACTTACTCAACAAGATTTCTGTAACAAACTCTCAGAACTTTCATTGCACCCTAGCAAGAAAATCTTCAAGACATACTATGCAAAAGGTGAACTCTGAAAGCATTGCTTTAAGCTCTGCTTACTAAGCATGCTTGGTTTGAAGGCAAAAAGACAATGCTTTGTAAATACATCGTGTTTTGGAACAATCACCTACAGAAGCATAAAGACTAAGAGTACATCATTTTAGGGGTAAGTCAGTCAAAATTCAGCTCCATTGACTTCTAGAGCGTTTAGCAAAAAACAACTTTATATAAAAAGGTGTTGTAAATTCAGAATGTCAGTGCAGCGGAGTGAAAATCTCCCAAGATGCCAAAAACTTTTGGTTCAACAGGTCTCGGTAGGAGCCTGCTGCTTCCCCAAAGGTGCCTTTTGCACCCACCCTCTGTTGCCCAGCTTCTCCCTTGCCTTGCAAATCACACTGTGCCAATCCACAAGTCTTCAAGTCTTGAATCTTTCATTGTAAAAAAAATAAAAATAAAAAAAGGAGAACAAAACACTTGTACATACTTTGAGACTTCTCTTACTTTCCCTTGGTGCTTCTTGGCTCAGCCCCTTTCTTTTCTTTTTTCCGCCCTGAGAGCCCCACCAAACTTGGTGCCCCCAGGCACAAAGGTTGCTCCTGTCCATCGTTGTCCTCATTTAGTTGTCATGGCTCCATGCCGTACTGATATTGTATCACCACAAGGTCTCTATACACTATTAAGCGGCTCCAAAGGAGCCGCTACCATCCCAATTTAACAAGAATAGTAGTTTAAAGGGAAGATTTCCTATAAATTAGAAAAAAAGTGTATATAAAAACACTATATTAAAAGAACTCTTAAGGTTGTAACAAACTAATAAATGGATGCAAACCCAAGAGTTAATAATCAAACCTACAATAAGTAAGCACAACACAGGACCTTATGTGCTCTGTGTCATGCCTAAATATTACAGGTTGTGATATTTAACCGAGACTTTCCATCCTTTCATCAGTTTTAGTTACAACATTAAAGTGTTCTTTTAATTTAGTGCAAACCGCTCAGAAACGCAGCACTGGTTTGGGACTGATGTAACAGTGGCCTATGAGGGACACAAAAAATACTACTTGAAAGCTGAGGAACTGAAAAATGTTCCTGAGCAAGTGAAGAAAAGGAAGTTCTGTGCAGTGACAGGAGGTTATCACTGCCCAGGTAATTACAAGTCATGAGGCAAGACAGTAAGTGATGGAACAAACTAATGCAAGAAATTCCACAGAGTAATATTTTAGTAGAACTGTAGAGAATGCTTCCATTGAGAAACTTACTCAGGTTTATGCTCACCAGATTGTTATTGCTACTTATCAGAAGAAACATTTTGTGTTTTGAAAATGTATTTGCCAGTGATTATTGCATAACCACAGTAAAGACAAAGAGGAGGCAAATTTGATGCTTAGGTCACCAGATGTTTTAACATGTGCTTAATGAATGGTGAGGTACCTGAATATATCCGAAACCATCCTGTGTTACTACCATACCTTTGATGCCTCCCACCAGTTGAAATCCAAAGAAAACTGGCTTTAATGAACAAACAAAATGTCAAATTTTGTGGCTGTCTACAGAGGGAACTGAAATTAATTTGATGATATCAGTCTATTACAAACATAAGTGTTCTCATCATGAAGATAACACAATTGATAAAGTCCTGCTGATGTGAAAAAGTTTAACAGAGATGTGGAGCAAGTTATTCCATCATCTTACTAACAATTCTAGAGATCCAAACTGTAATGTGACACTGGAGCAATGAAAGGAATTGTTTTTCTTTCGGATTGAACTTTGTTTTAGATAAGCAGAGAAACACGAATAGTATTTGTCAGCATCTTTCAAGCCAGAAAGGCAAGAGAATGCAGGTTTTCCCCCTAAGTGGCCACGCTACTGAAAGCTCTGTATTACAAATCTGCAGATACCAGATTCACTGTGTGTCCTCCTCCTAGAAGATGTAGTTGGTCGGGAAGTCATGTTGGATGAAGTCTGCTTCTCTTCCAACTCTTGTACAGACTCCTGATAACAGAAATACTGAGTAAGCCTGAGCATACGAGGTAAAGTGCTAGAATCAACTTACTACATTAAACCATTAACACTATCATGCAAAACTGAATAGAATGTACAACTCAGAAAATTCATTCAAATAAAATAAAAATAGCACCTTAATAACATTTTCTTCTTCAAGCTGAGATTTGGCATCATCCTCAGGTGTGTCACCAAGGGTGGAGTCTGAAACCAAACCAAAATAAAACCCATAATACAACATAGCAGAAAAAGTCAATTTCAGGCTCAAAAAGTAAATTCCAAGTAAAACCTAAAATCCAAACATTTTGCAACAATGGAAAAAACTACATTGCTCCTTTGTTTTTCAGGCGTGTGCAGCACCTTCCCTGTAACATTACTGAAGTGGAAATGCGGGGAGAAAGAAGAAATGTCAACTGAAAGCAGCTCAGAATGCAGGTATGAAAGAACACAGGCATGAAATCTAATTATTTGCTCTTCTCCTAAGTGCTTCTTACTACTTATCATCTTATGGGAACCCTGAGCTAAAAAGACCTACAATAGAAGAAAAATTAGCTGTTGTTAATGATATATGCTTACTAACAGACAGACTCTGAATTAATAAAGAATCTTTCATGAAAAAAGAACTGAAAGATAAATTTAAGTTTGCAAGCTTAACAATGGGGACGACAAAAAGAGCAAGTTTCCCTTGTTCAGCAGCTGAACACTTGCCTTTAGGAAAAATTAGAAACAAAGGGTGTCTTTATACAGATTTAGAGGCCAATTTACAAAATGGCTTCCATTGTCTAACTTCTGTTTCATACCCTGCATTAGGCAAAAATTACAGCTATATTGAGCATTTTTATACTGCAGGACTGTGTATAACAATTCTCCATTCAAGGAGTGGCTATCCACAGCATCACCAGAAAGCTACTTTTTAAAAGTATACGGCCCATTTAAAACAGGACTGAGTACAGCTAAGAATGACCAGTTCTAAATGGTCTTCATATTCAGTTTTGAAAATTAAAATAGAACTTTAACATTAAAAAAAAAAAGAGCCTTTGCCCTGATTTCATAGCTGGCATAAGTTTAAGAAGCTAATTTTTCATATTAAAACTTTTTATGTTGTTGAGGGCTTTATCAGTAACAAATACAAGCAAATGACTTGAGTTTGTAATTTAGTAGCCTTTTTGTTCAGCTCTGTGTTTTTTCTGGTTCTAGTCAATAAAGTTACCCAAATGCTCTGCTCAGATTTTTTTTCTCCTCCTGAAGAAACAAGTGTTTGCTTTGATTCACTATTTGTGACTGCCCTGGACTATAGTAAGCAAAGCCAAACAGGTAATAATGGAGAGCGTGCTGTTATCTGATCACTACCTGCAAGATACATTATGTAAATTATATTCTCCCTACTGAAACAAATCAACCTCCTAAACTAGCTTACCTTGTTGATTGATTGCTATCAGATTTCTGGAAATCATTGAATATAGTCTCCTTAAACAGGGATAAAGAAAGAGATGATACAAGTTAGCTACACGTAACCATAAAAGAGAGCTTACCGCCTTTGAAGATGCGAAGAGTTAAAAAAGGGACATAGGCATTATGTTCTTCATCATTTCCCAACCAGACTCTCAGAAAAGAATCTCATTTTACCTGTGTTCTTTTACTGAAAAGCTTGTTACTCCAAATAAATCCCCCAGGAGATCATTTGCACAGTGTACAATATGCTGCTGTTTTTCATCATATAATTGCTTAGACATAATATATTGTCCAATATAGAATATTACCTGTGAAATAAATGAAATACAGACATTAAATACCCAGGTTGTTGCTTCAAGTTTAAAAGACAAAGCCTATTAAATACATTGAAATTTTCTCTTCAAACTCTGCCTAAAACTCTCTTTGAGCTGACAGACTTTCATCTATCATTCCAGAAGAACACTGCTGTTCTACTGACCACTAGAAACTTTTGTTCAGATTTTTGAGAAACTTGCTAAATATCCAGTTACAAGTCAGCAGAAGAATAAACACAGTGTCTTATCTCAATTTCTAGACAAACTATGAACAACACTGCCCCTCTATTTACCCAACCCCAAACAATCTATCAGTACTCACTGTAGTCTACCTTTAGTGATTAAAAGTTCTCACCTCCTTCATAGTAAAAGTATCCTTTTCAGCACCAGCTAACTTTAACAATTTCAACAACAGTGGCTTTGGCTTAACCTGTGCGTGGAAAGAGAAAAACAGTATGCACTAATTATTCACCAAAAAAACATTATTTACATTTGTCTTCCTCCTTCTGTATTAATCTGATATGTAAACATACAACAGCATTAAAATCTTCATTCAACTTTTTCACTTCGCAAAGTTCAAACTTAAAAGCAAATAATATGAACCAAATCATACTAAACTTCTCATACACTGTGCAACTTAGCTCAAACCCCAGTCTTTCATTGTCCCCTGGTTTCAGATGGGATAGTTAATTTTATTCCTAGTTGCTGGTACAGTGCTGTATTTTTGATTTAGCAGGAGAATAATGTTCACAACACACTGATATTTTTGCTGTTGCTAAGAACTTTTCAGTGTCCTGCGCTCTGCCAGTGAGGAGATGCACAACAAGCCATGAGGCAACGTGGCCAGCACAGCTGATCCCAACTGGCCAAAGGGACATTCCATACCAGACAATGTCAGGCCTAGTGTCATGAACAGGGGAGTTGGCCAGGAGGTGCTGACTGATGCTTGGGAGGGCTGGGCATCCATCAGCACGTGATGAGCAATTGCATTGTGCAACACTTGTCTTCCTTGGATTTAACTACTCTCCCTCTTCTTTACTATTACTCTTATACTTTATTTCAGTTATGAAACCCACAGGTTTTGCCTTTTTTTCTGATTCCCCCATCCCACCACGGAGGGAGTTGGGGGGCAGGGAACAAGGTGCTCCGTGCTACTTAGTTGGCAGCTGGGTTTAAACCTCAATGAATCAGTAAATACAAATTCCTTAATTGAAGCTACAGGACTTGTTTATTAGTTCCAAGTCCAGGGCTGGGTCCTGGGGAAGTCAGCTTCACTCCTTTAACCATTACCACGACTCCCAAAGGGGAGGGAGGATAGAAACAGACCTCTGTGACTGTCAGGTGCAGAGTGCAAGTCATAAAGCAAAACACTGGTTCACCTCTTTCTTAGTCTCTTTCTGTGACAGTTTCTAGGGTTTTGGTTTTGCATCTGCCAGCTGGGCTGCTTTACCTCTGAAGACTTATCTTAGCCAGGACAAGCACACTGTCCCACCATGCTTCACTCACTCCTACTTCTGCAATGGCCTCCCACCCACCCACCGTGCCAGCAATTTAATCTGCAGTCAGTCTATGACAATTTCCAAGGCAGACGATGTAAAAGTTAAACAGGAAAAATCACTTCCCCCATACACACAAACTGCACCGTCCCACACAGCAGTGGCAGCACCAGTGCAGCAGATGAGAACATGAAGCTGAAGGGGGTGCCACAACAGCAATGCCTGTGGAGCCACTGATGCTCCCAGTGCACTATCTGCTAGTGTCACCTCTTTAATAATAGCATAACCATTCTAAAACCAGACTAATATTTAGCTATCCTGATATATTACATAAAATAAAATGTAAAAAAATTTAAAAAAAAAATTAAAAAGCAAAACAGAGAAGTGTGAATAAAATATCATGAGACAAGAAATAAATGTTTGAGGGAAGGGTGAAGGAGGGGAACTACCCTACATTCCATTCCAAAGCCCCGTTAAAACCAACGTTAAGTTTTAGTGAGATAACAAGATATTAATTGCAAGAATTCCACATAATGAAAAAAATAACTAATCTCCTGGACAACATTAGCTGTCCATTCACCCCCTCCTAAGAACTGAATTATATGCAGACACGCGGTATATATATGTTAACAGTTTCATAAAGGAAGCAAACAATGACTTAGTCAAGTACTACTGACAGCTAAGCATAGCAAGGCACAGTTTCAGAACTCTGAGTCCACAACGAAGCCCAGTTTTATTCCCCAGCCTTCTCCTCCTGACTCCTTCAAGTATGAAGTTCTACAGCCTTGCAGATCTGACAGCAGACATATTGCAATATGATGACGTAAAAAAAAGGAAGACACAAATGAAAAAAAAAAATCAATTTTGAACAGTCTGCTGTTCTGCAACTTCATTTTTTTTTGAGGTTCTACAGTCAGGTCCACACTTTTAAGCTTTACCCTTCTACACAAGATAATCCAGTTCAACCATCACTGTACATATGCGGTTTTTAAACTCGTATTTCAGGTGTAAAAGGCTTCCATCCTCAGGAAAACTAAGTACAAAACAGCAGAACTGTCACTACATCATGGAAAGCCTGGAAATGCAAAGCCATAAACACAAATGACACTTCTTACAACCTTCTTAAGAATTTCAATAGAGGAGAAAGTCGAAAATCATCAGATTATTTCATCAACAGTATGTTTTGTACGATGGAGATTTTCCACAGCCCTTCAGTTATGATCTGGTAACAATTTCCACCCGAAATACTCACCACGATCAAATCGGATCATAGGATCCTTTTTATTAAAATAAATCAAAAAACATTAAACGTCTCCAGGAAACAGTCTAGACCTATATCATCATCCTGTACTTTCAATTTATGGTTAAGATTTGCTTACTACAGAATGAAAAAGAGACCCCCTTCACTGGCTGGACTTCCTGGCTTTTCTCCAACCATCGCTCACAAAGTACAGTGATTCTTCTGAATTAGCCCCTAAAAACTGCAAAAAGTTTGCAAAAAACCCACCCGCCCAACAGAGCTACTGACCAGCGCCTCTTGCTCCGAAGCGGTGACAGAAGAGGGATCCGTAAGGGAGGACATCTTGGTATTGCACATTTGCCTGCAGTTGAGGAGAGAAAAAACCTCAGAACGCGGCACTCGGCGACACAACCCGGGCGGGCGGCAGCCGCCACGCGGCGGGGCCCACTCACCTCGGTGCCTCGTCCAGCCCACGCGCTGGAGTCCGGCGGCGGTGTCTGGGCCGACTCGGGCCGGGCCGGGCCTTATATAGCGCTGCCAGGAGAGGGCAAGTCAGGGCTTAGCTCCTGCGCCGGCCCGGCCTGACATGCCTGAGCATGACCCGCAGCGCCGCCGCCGAACCACCGCGGGGGGCAGGCGGGCGGGACGGGCCCGGCGCTGACTCACCGCGGCCGCCGAGCGCGGCGGGGTCCGGCGGCGTGCAGAGACGGCGCCGTGGAGGAACAGCGGCCTCTCCGCGGCCCCCGCCCGCCCGCCAGGCCCCGTTCCCCCGGCGGGAGCCCCTCCCCCAGCACCGAAGGCCGCACGAGCGACAAGCGTAGACCCCCGGCGCTCCCCCGGCCCCCGAGCGAGCCGCGATCGATTCCCACGCACCGCCTGACACGCCCGCTCCTCTGCCCGGCCCGCGGCGGGCGGAGCGCCGGGACCCCCGGGGCTTTGCCCGGAGCCTCTACCGCGGCCCCGCCGCGCCGCACGCGCCGCCCGCCGCCATGTTGGCGTCCGCAGCGCCCCCTGGCGCGCCGGGCAGCGCTGGCAGAGCCTCTGTGGGAAGGGGCCTGAGGGAAAGGCTCCCCCTGGCAGCCCGCGCCAGGCCGGGAATGGCCCGGCACGGGAATGGGCCCGGGCACGGGAATGCCCAGACCCAGGAGCTCCGGGACTGCTGGGCCACCCGCCTCATCCCTAACAGCGCCTCCGCGGACTAGTTCCATTTCCTGCAGTCGCTCATGCCTTCTAAGTTGTTTTTTTCAGAGCTGTTTAGGAGATGGAACTAGGAGGAAACTCTGCTTCTAAAGATAATTGGATGTTGTCGTCCTGTGTTCCTATCATCTCCCATTCTATAATTTTCTGTATCTTTTAAATGCGGAGTGTTTGGAAGTATGTTACTTTAACACGTAGTTATTAGTTGCTACACTTCAGTTCGAACTGATCAGCTTTTAGTCCGACTGCCTTTTCTAATTCTCAGGTTTTCTCTTTGCTTACGGTGACATTTTGAAATTATTTTTGAATAATGAAAAGCTCTGTCAGAGAACATGAGTGCTGCAGACAGTGTCTAAAGATAGGCTGGAGCAGAGGAAGCGTAATGCTACTTTTCCATGACAACTAACTTGTCCAAACAAGCAGTGGATAACTGCCTGGACTTGTCTGTTGGCCAAATACAGCTACTCAGCAACCATGGCATCTTGTAAAAATTCCAGCAACGGTTTCAATCTAGATATTTGTGTGATGATGGATTTTCAAGATGACCTTGTTATCCCTCTAGAGCGTAAAGCTCAAAGTCTAGTGAGGGACAACCGAGAAGCTGCCAGAATTTTGCAAAGTCTGCTCACCTCCTTTTAGTGCTGGGATTTCAAGGCAAACAGAAATCTCTTTCAAGTGAAGTCAAGAATGTCCTGCAGCAGGCAAAGTCTGCAGAAGGCAAAAAGCTGCTCTTTTCTTCCCAGCACCCCAGTTCCTGAGATCCTTAGCTAGCTAATTTCATTGTTAGGAGAAAACTCCATCTACACAAAAATGCAAGACGATTGAAGTGAATGGCTACTAAACAGCTCTACTATTGATGCTCAATCTTGTCCTCGTACAGACAGCACAAAAACTATTTAATTCCAATGCAAAATGTATTTTACTGAACTGAAACCAAACCGTTTATGTAGTTCCCCCCAAGCTATCACATTATTTATTGATCCTCATCTTAAGCACAGTATCATTTTGCTGTGGCTATGTGGAAATTAAAGAGCTTTTTAAAATTAGCCATAAATTTTTTGCAGTCCAAGCCTTGCCAAACTCATAACTATTATTTTATTTTTCCACTGCTCTACCAATAAGCATTTTGTGACCAATGACTTTGAGACTGAGATTTTTTAAATAATATTTTTCCTTACGGATTCATTAACTGATAAGGATAAAAAAACCCCAACAGTTTCTGTCTAGAATTTTTATCAGTCTTCAAGGACAATCTTATCTCTTTTCTCCAACAGACTAATCTTAAGGGAGACTGCAAGTAGGTAAAATATGCTGTCTGTGCTATCTTAGTGAAAGAGGGAGATATTTTCTGATATGCAGTGCTGCAACACTTGTTTGTCACTAATACAGTTAGTGTTGCTATGTCATCAACATATATAATTATTTTCCTGTGCTTGATAATTCAGGACAAGTATAATTAAAAAGTTTTAATTGAAGGATGAGTAATAAACTAGTACAGTTATGAGAGCTGACTTCTCCACTATTTGGGGGTTGTAAAAAGAAAAGGAGATGTCACCACACCTATATATTTTACTTAAAATGCTACAGGAAATATCTGTAGCATTATAAGTAAATATTTATAATACTTTACATTGTGGTTAACTAATATTGCATGAGACCCTTTAAAATATATATTCAGGTTCTAACTGCAGACATTTCACTGTTTAATGCTTACAAGCTAAATTATTTCCTGAGATGGATCTGGTCTACCTATAGGCACATAGCAGATGAAAGGCAAGTCCCTGTGCTGCAGGAGTGCCCAACTGAAGTGAATGGATGGACCATTAAAACACTTCAGTTTCTGATTTTTGTTCCTCACTGTATTTTTTTTTCCCCCCAACATGTCCCACTTACCCTTTCCTGGCAGCTGCCTATTCAGCATCCAGCACATACACAGTATGGTCCTTGCCAGATGCTGATCAGAGGCAGAGGTGGCCCGGGTTTGTCAGGTCTCCAAGCTATTTGCTCCTAATCAGATAGAATAATCTCATACTGCCTATGAACTTCGCCCAGACAAAAAAAAGAAATAAATTCAAAGCCCTCCAGGGCTTTGCACTGTGCTGATGTGTCCTTTCTGAAGCCTTAGACTGCGTCTCTATTACTGTGATGTAAAGAGGATCTGTTGCGTGCTGCAGATTGTCAGGCACCTCAGGGAAAAGAGGACAAAGGAAGAAAGATGCTGAAATGTCCGCATGCAGCTGGGACATGTGCTGTTTAATGTGGTTTTCTGCTAGGGCTGCCTGCTGCAGCTGTGACCCCATGTGCCAGACAGTGGGTCGGTACAATTCTGTACAATATAGGAGAAAGAATTTTGTTGTTTTTTTGACACTTCTGTTGTTGTGTAAGAAAAAGCACAGTGATAAGAAATCCTCAAGCCAGTAATAGCATCTTTGATTCAGGGAATTTATATTTCACAATATAACACCTATCCCAATGAAGAGGTCTGTCAGCACCTCCACCAGAAATTCTACTAGAAATGACAATCAGGTTCTACTAAGCAAAAAGCAGATGCAGCCTTCCTGGGAGCAAGTTTGAACAGACAGGCAGGAGTCAAAGAGTACAGCTCATAGCAGCAGTGGGAAACCAAAAACCACATGCAATACTACTGCAGCAGTTTAACAAGGGACACTAAACTCTCCTTGCTGTCCAGCTTGTGTTTTCCTGGTGTGTAGGAGCCATGTTTGAGCTTCCCAGGGCTGCACTGCCCTTCTCAAATACCCCAGGTACTCTGCAGGCTGGGTGGCATGGCAGGCGTTCTACAGCTTTACCTGGGTGCACCCCCGGGGGTGTGGTGTCTTATCACAGAGTCACAGAATATTCTGATTGGAAGAGAACCCAAAAGAGTCATCAAAGTCCAACTCCTGGCCCTGCACAAGACACCACCGAGAGTCACACCATGTGCCATGTGTCAGTTTCCTACATTTCCATAACTTCAGATGTTTATTTTGAAAAAGGTAAAATTACTTCAGATGTATTGGAAAAGAGGGTCTCAAAAAATATTTTCCTAGCAGTTGTGCATGAGCTCTTACCTCCCTCCCACAGGCACTCAGTTCAGGTGTGTCTGCTCTCGAGCACATTAACTACAGCTGCTTTAAAACCACCTGGAGGTGGAATAAACCCACATCAGAAAAGAGCAGCTCTTCTGCTTTTGTTTAATTGGTATATTTATTCCTTCATCCATCTGGGAGACATTGGTAATCTGTCTGCCCAAATCTGATTCCTATTTAGTAGCAGTGCAGTCAGCCACAAGCACAATTAAACAAAATAATAATGTATGCCCTCTGAAGGGAAGCCAACTGGCAAAAATATAAACCAATTACTTTGAACTTATGCTCAATATCTAACACAGAATAAAAGGGTTGGGTGCTTTTTTCCCCTCTAGTTTTCTGTCCGGTCCTTCCTTTTGAAAGAAGCTCATGGAACAATTCTAAAGAAGTAGAAGGGAGAAATCTCAGGAAAAGACTCCTCTTACTGTCAAACAGTTTTTGTTAAGCACATCACAATGAATAAACATGCTTTTCTTCTTAAGCAGGAGTGAAATACGTGACTAGGTTATGACCATGTCCTGCTTTACTAAACTGTGAAAATTAAATAATCCACTGATCTCTCCTTTCCTAGAAGTACTTGATTGTATGTAATTAGATCAGAAAAGTCCAAGTATAATCATACTCATCTGCCTTATTTAATCAAACTAGGATGATGCCAATTCAGTTTAGAATTGTTCTTTTAATTCAGTGCTCATTTGTCATTCAAATGTGCTGTTCAGTCCAGCGCAAAAAAACATTTCTATGCAAGGGAGTGGCCCAGAAGGGTGAGTGGGGTGTGCACAGGCTAAAAGGACTCATGAGAAACACTGAGGTATCTTTCAGTCTGAAACTGAAATGTATTCAGGGATAATCTAGCTCCAGGAGAAGCTGAGAGCAAACACAGCATCCAGTGCTTGGAATGCTATGCATGGAGACAACTACAGCTGATGATAAGGTCAGGCCTGAAGTACTATTCAAGTCAGGCTGCAGTCTAGGTTAGAAGAAGAAAAGACAAAAAATTATTTTAAGTGTCCATCTGTTACTTGAACCGTTTGTTTCTAGCAACAAAACCCAGAAAGGATTTTATTACACAACCAGCTCCTTAACTCAGACCCATTCTATGCACCTGATCATTTATCTCCCAGGATTGTCCCAGTCTTGCTGACCCAGTTGCCCACATCTCCTCTGCATGCTCCATACTTGCTTTCTAGCTGCCTGTTATACAAAGAATATATGCTTTGCTTGGATCACATGATCTACAACATCTTTCTTACAGACG